TGAACTGAAACATGTTCATTTAAACTACAGTATCCACTACATTAGGAATATTTTCTTGAGTTATAATAATGTTGCATTAAATATTCTTTAACACGTTTATATGATTTGACCTTGGACTCAGGATTTTACCTATATTTTGCAATGAAGGTTGTCGTTTTAGTTTTCATAATTAAGGATTTGTGCCCGTACACAATAGCATCAAAATGATTATTAGACCTACACTCTATCGATTAATAAAGAAATATCTAGTTCAATTCAAACTTATTGTGTCATATACGCACAAATAATACGGATGAATTGAGAACTTTCTCATATTTGTAATCATTAGGAAATACTATCTAATACTGTACTTCTTAAAATGATAACATTTTTCATAAGACTTTTAATGGAAAAAATACTACTAGATCAATTAATGTAAAATTGTAATTGTCGTATATACTCGTATATGAATAGCACCATGGAAATCATAGAGAACACCATGCCCACCACATTAATACTCATATTATGCCATTTCTAAGGAATAAGGTGTTATACCACTGACATTACATATTGCACTGACCCCAAATAAACGAGAAAGGCAAAGCAATGATGAAGGTGCTATAACATAACACCCACCATACATTATGCAAGCCTATTTTTGTCACAGGTGGTAGAAACTTAATTGTGACAGAAATGCCCATGTAGATAAGTATATACAAAGTAACCATGGATGCCTTTTTAAATGTTATTAAATTTTTAATACAAAATATAAAGTAAATGAGAGACAATTTAACAAAAGATTTAGACATATAAAATGGTTATCATTAATAAAATAACAACAATTATATTATTAAGTGAGATCAGATGGAATATTGGAATATAAAAGCCACCGAATTCAAAACACTATAGCCGACAAACCTCAAAATATTTGCAGAGCGAATGAAAAATGAGTCCCCGTTGAATAAACTAAAAGGACTATGTACACAAAGGGACAGGTTTTAAAACGGAGCTTACTGCGTTAGCTCCACGCGCGATTAGCATGGCAACTAGCGGCCGACAGATCAACATATTTACATTATTCTATTACGCTTATTATTATAATCTCGTACACAGGGAGTTACCCTAATGGAGATTTAAAAAAATAATTATATTACAACAAGGCCCCTAATATCAGTATTTCTTAAATATTTTCTATGTACAGACATTATCTAATTACCATTTTGTAATATTTATATATATGTCTATCAATCTTCATCCCAGGTCGATATAGTTCATACAAAGCAGTTATATCACTAACCTATACAAAACTGCAATAAAAGTCGATATCTTCTAAATTCAAATTATAGATTTAGGAATTTTGGTAGTTTAAATTTCTAAACTGCAAATCTGTCTTAATAAATATATTTATTTTACAAGTGATTATTAGAAATAATTTACTCTCTACATTTTTACAGTCTGTACTGTTATGTCAAATAGCAAATTGAAGCAATATTTCTACGTATTATTATGACCTATTTTAAAGAGAAACTAGAACAATAAGTAGGTAGTTAATTACGTTATTAGTTGTAAAACATAAATGTTTCAGCTTTGGATTTTGTCCGATCCACAAAATAATGTGAAGATAATATGACATTGTCTCATACACCTGACTCGGCATCACATCTTTGCGATCTCACCCGACAATTCAGCTGATCTCTGTGGGGCAATTCAATTACAGTGAAAGATCCCTCATAAGCGAATCGTTTTTCCGAGTCATTAATTTTTTCGAACGACACGGGGCTTCGCGTGATATGGCGGGGTGGGTCCAGGCGCGCGGCTATCTCGCGAGATAATACTGATTTATGCGGGTAAGCGACGGTTGCGATTCGTCGCGCTCTGTCGCTGCGACATGCGAGTGTCGCGGCCGCTTCGTCGCTCGTATCACTTTGTTCAGCCGTTACCGCGCACCGCGTCCGCTGTTCATTTGTGACGGTTAGTTGGCGAGATTTATGCTAATCGACGAGGCCGACTCGGATAAGCTTGCGTGACGGTGTGTGGCAAATTGTCTCCCATTGCAACTTCCCTGAGCTCTATGTGGCATTTGCGATCGTATTTAATCTTTTATTACTATCCACCGCCGTTACAAATTAATCGATTATGAAAAAAAAAACATTAAACCTGAGTATTGTATTAATAATATTAAATAAATATTTTTGTAAACGTAATAGGTACATATTGTTATTACAAATCAACACGATATTACTTGTAAAGGGACTGTGTGGTTAGTTTGGTAAATGGGACTAAAGTATATTTCCAGATGTCGTATTTTATGGAGCGTGGTAGAAAAAACGGAATGCCTAAGGCATCGTTAACTCGAGAACATTATATGGAATAAATAAGTGAGGTATTAATAGTGCGTGAAAGAGCTTTCATTGTTTTGCACTGCATATAAGTATAAGCGGTTTTTTATATTTATTTATTCAAATATTTAACTCTTAAGAGGCTTTCTTTCTTAAGAGTAGCAAGTTTATGATCTCATATTTTCCCTGTAATATACAATGGCAAAAGAAGTGTTAAATTATAACTACTTACGAGTATAACGATAATTAAAAAATTCAGGGTACAGAGGCATAACACCTTCGTTCGCGGGAATGGTAACGCATGGGGTATCATGGGCGACACAGTATATTCAACGGTTACTACTTTCAGGTGGGCAATCAGCTTGTTTGCCTTCTAAATTATATAAAAAAAAATTATAGTAAAATATTGTAAAATAACCATTCCAGCAAGTGTAGATACTTAGTGGATATCACTCTACACGCAAATTTAGTACTATAGGTTTTGACATCTTAAGAAAAACCTTATCGATTCCAAAAAGAAAAACACCAAATTAGTTAGAATATTACGTAGTATGCGTGTTAAAATACAAATGATTTAAAAATACCTCATTTTAAAGTTAAAATGATGCAAAATCTGAATAAGGATTTCAAAAATCATGTAGAGCTTTTAATTGGTCTAAAGTATAGCTATATTTAGTAATCCTAAACATAGCTACAAATTTAAAGTATACTAATCAATCAAAGGAGTCCGGAGTAGGTATCTAATGTCTCAACGAACAACATTTGTTATCAAAAGATTAGGTTCCTGAATTTGTCACGATCGGTGCGCTGTCGCGCGTTGATTTACACTGGTCGCGATAAGCGTCGTTTTGCGACTCGCGTCGCTACCGCTGCAAAAACACCAATCTCCCGATACAGCGTTCCAATACCGACAATAACTCAAAACATATCTAAAATTATTTTTAAATGCTAACCTTGCATTTGGGAATCTTAAAATATACTAGTTCCAAAAATGCAAGCTATAAATATTGTGAATAATAATTATTTATTTGAAAATTTGTCGACAGTTTGAAGGTGTACGATATGACGTGATCGTAAAATCCAATTATGGTAGACGCTAAGATCATTATTTTTAACTAGTTATAACCTACGGTTCTTCCCGTATGATTTAAGTTAAGTGAAATAAATATCTAAAGATTAAATTAAAAATATTTTTGCAAACTTTTTCGTTTATGATATAAGAAATGTCCTTAATGTTGTGGAGATTGTTAAACCGTTATTACATTAAGGTCACTACCTCGCCTTCCAACAGTAGCAGATTCGATCCTCGCACAATACAAACATATTGATACCATACATTTCTAGGTGCAACATATAAAATAAACTACTTTTTAAAGATTGAAAAACATTGCATTACATTCGAAGTATTGATCGAGTGCGACCACCGCATGAGTGGCAGCAGTGCAGTGGCAACCACGACGGCCGATTGCCCATTGTTCGTCCGCGCGGCGCGACCGATACGCTTCGCGCCAATGCCTCCAGTGTGCCACCTACCTTATCGCCGGAAAGCATTCCCAATATTGCCTTGATCTCGTTAACCAACAATCAAATTTAACGATTACCTACCACACAGTTTTTAATTTCCCGGCAAGTTCAGGACAATACCAAATAACGAAACGATCCGTTGACTGCTCGAGACCGAGCCGTTTTCGTTCGCGCACCGAGTTTTACGGCCTACAATTATTTCTCTACATAACCGATTATAGGCAGAAAGTGGTGTTTTATTACTGTGCCGTATAATCTTGGGTGGGAAATTAATGCAAAAGTGTTAATTGTAATAAAAGTAAGGACACCTACAAATAGGGAAATTAACCTCTTTCCTTGTTCACAAATATTTACGAATATTAAATAATATTATTTATTTAAATATTGAAACGGGTTTTATTTAAACTTGGTAAGATCTACAATTATGTATATCTTTTTTTTATTAGTAAAGTTTTTCTCTCGTCAGACCAACTAATTCATGTATTCTCCTCCAACGAACTCTATCCCAGACCATGCTCTTGACCTCCATATATGACGTGACACTCTGCTTTTTCTTTATATGTTAGGTGTTATGGATATCATGTGATGTGAATAAATATGTAACCATTACTAAAAATGCTTGTACTTATTTAGACAAATGTAAAATCCACAACTTTAATATTTGAATATAAGAACTTATTTATCATTTGCAAGTACTATTACTATATTACTATTAAGTATATTATTTATAAAATTATTTATTGTACCTTTAAATAGATATACTTTATATAAATTAATAAAAATGTTATAAATATTTAAAAAAAATATATCTACTTTGAATCTGTAATGTCGATGTAATACTTGTAATGTAAATTAGACTCTTTTTCCCGCACTAAGTGTCTCATTTCGGCCGTGGTACATATAAGTCGTGACTAGTACAGCCAGCCAAGCTCCACCCAGAAGCACAGAAGCTTTCTGGGATCTTCACAGGCCTCACAGAGTGACCCCACTGTTTCCAGGATTTCTAAACATTGAGGGGCCACAGCTACACATTGCAGGATTACGGGACCAGTCGTTTCTTTGGCGTAAAAACAACTTCAACATAAAGGGCTGTCTGTGGCCTCCGATGCTGATGTGATACTTATAATTACATAGAAATTCTCAATAGCTATCACTTACCTCCCAGTTTTTGTGATGATCATCTCAGTTCCTAATTCATTGAATTTGTCCCAGAGTTCTTTCGTCTCAAGGTGACACTGTATGTGCCGCATGTCCTCGCTCGACCATCGCTCGACAAGCTGAGGGTTCCGCGGAGGTGGGGAGAGTGCTCGCGAGCCACTCGCTGCGCCACTCGCCGAGCCTGCCTCTGACGTCGATGACACGTCTACGGGAGAGTCGCGTTCGTACTCCGCCAAAGGTGGGGAAGGTGACCCAGATGCTGATGCAGTTGCGTCCACAAATTTCTCTGAAAACAATATCATAATTTGATGATGTAATGTAACCACGCACTCTACTGCTTTCCATCATGTGAACATTTATTCTTAACAGCCATCTAAGAAGCTTAAAAGGAGAACATTTAATTACTTAGCAAATGAAATCAATAAAGGAATGGCTCAATTTAGTAAGCAAACCTTTTTCAACTACTTGTATTTGTAAACTATCTAAAATTAATAATAAAATTATAACCTATCCAGCATTTGATTTTTTATTCGGTGCATTAAGATGCATGATTAAAATAAAATTTTTAAGTGACTTGGTAAAAGATTCTCTATTCGTCTACCTTTTTGCTACGTGATTGCGTCGTCAATTCTGACCCGATTATGATAATTCTTTTTGGTAGTTGTAGGTGTGGATCCCAATTATTTTTTTTTTTACTATTTAAGTTGCCGTTTTTCTTTGTAGATGAAAAAATGTTGAAAAGCAAAATCTACTTTTAGATACTTCGTCGGCGTGTTTTATTCGTTATTACTGAAATTAATTTTGTCAAGGTGCAGTCATTGATTGATTGAAGTTTTTTTGCGAAGTACTTCTACACTATTCAATACTTCTACGAAAAATAAATTGTTACATTCAATAATTATAATAGTGGTGAATACTAGTTCACTTATGACTTAGTTGACTAATGATCTAACGATATATACTTGGGATTTGTAAATAATCTCGCAGAATAAATTCCATGAATGGTGGACCATTCTATGCCCAGCCTACACGGCCATTGGGCCACTTCTTCCTTTCGCGCGTGAGTGTCGTAACAGAAGACTAAGAAAATTCAATATTAGAGGGATAGGCAGCAGCGTCTCTCTTAAAGCATCACCAAAGCTTAACTGCGGTTGCCAACCAGCCTACCAAGTGTGGCAACTACTGGCAAAAGTCCTCTTTTGGGGAAGGCCCATGTTCAGTAGCGGCCAGTTAACGGCTGATATAATAATAAATAATAATTTGTACATAAATTGACATGTAACATGTAAATAATACATGCCAATTTATGTAACTATATATTACACGGAAAGAACCGTTTTCTTAAATATTTGTGTCTGTAAATACATTGTATTATTAATTTATAAATTACTTTTACATTAATACATGAATGGACTGTGTGAAAGATGATATGACCAGAATGAGAGTGAATGCGGAAATGACTGGGAATAGAGAAGAATGGGAGAGAAAAACATATTACGTCGACCCCAAATAGTAATTAAGGTAAGAGTAGAAAGATAAAGTTACTTTTATATTAATTAATACAGGCAAAGCTGCGAGATTAAAGATTAAAGCTGTAAATAATGATTAAACATTTTCCGTAGGTACTATTGTTTTAAAATATATACCGATGTGAAGTTACACTTTATAAATTGATAGAATTTTGTATATTTGTTTTATTCAAGCTATTAATTGTACTTAGCCTACAATGAACTGGTTTTCAATTAAGACTAGACCGCTTTTGTCAGCACCTGTTTACGTTGAAAACTAGTTTTAAATTGTTATAAATATCTAAGCTCACTATACTTCTGCAAGTATCTATTACAATGATAAAATGATTACTATTAATATCTGTACACATTTTGTTTGATTTACAACTAAATTATTTCACTCAGTAAATATTGTTGGATATTTATTATTTATTTCTGTATTTTATTTAACACTTTATTGCAACAATTTTAAAGGACTTGTTGAAGAATTTTCGATAAGTATAGTGTAGTACAAAAGGTGGTCTTATTGCTAAGCAATTTTTTTTCTAGACAACCTTAATAACAACAAAAAGTAAAGCATAGATTAATAAAATTGTGAACATTTTTGTAAATAAGTCCACTTTGTAAATAATCATTTATGATGTTCTTTTTATATAATATTTAACATAGGACCTGAGAAGGTAACCTCATCCATCGCAGTTACTAAAGTCAAACAATACCATGAGAAAAGAGACATGAAAATCAACTCCGAATTAGCGAAGATCTCGCGTGATATAGGTACAAATAAAAATACGGTTGAATTGAGAACTTCCTTCATTCATTTAAAACACAAAGACACAAAAAAATCGATTGTTGACCCTAATGAGAATCGAATCTGTACTATAACCGACGTGCTTAACCACTGCTGGTCGATAACGAGTTAAGACTTAACGCATTAACTACTATATTTCCGTTTCCCGCGTGTGAATCGAACTAATGGGTATTAACGGATCAATATGACTGAATAATTTAGATTGTTTCTACACATTTTGATTGTTAGCTAATACCTCATTTTAGGGTACGCCAATGTGGGATTTGATATATATATATATATATATATATATATATTGAACATAAATAAATAGCTGTTTTAATAGATCTATTATTATTTCAGCTTTTAACTGTCCACTGCTGAACATAAGCCTTCCCCATAAGGAAAGTTTTGCCAGTAGTTGCCACACTTGGCAGGTGGGTTGGCAAACACAGTTTGGCTTTGGATGATTTTTTAAAAAGAAAGCTGCTACCCATCCCTCAACCATTAACTCCCTCAGTCGCCTCTTACGACACCCACGGGAAAGGAAGGGGTGGCCTATTCTATACCGGGACCGACACGTCAATTATAGATCTAACTCTGACAAAATTATAGGAAAAAGCAGTTTACCATCATAATTATTATTTTAGAAGGAATAAATTAAGTAAACTTCATGTGTTGTGGCGTAGTACGGGTGACAAATTAATAAAAGTACAGGAAAATTTGCTAAAACGTAAATTACAGTTTCAACAAATCACTAATTTTTTAAAAGAATCGGTTATTTTTGTTGTTAAAAGTTTCGTAAGTACCCACATATTATATTTTAATATAATAACAATCGGATTCATTTACGTATGTATATTTTAGTCGAGAAACCTCTCCTAGTTCCGGCAACACTAGACTCTTAGTTATATTACATTAGAATCGATTATCATTATTACTTTGACTTTAATTCCAAACTTTATATGTGGAATTAATTATATATTTTAAAAACTATTTCTTTACATTAAAAACTGAAAAGGTCGTTATATATCTAGTAAACATTTAATATATTAGTATTATACCACATACTTATTAAATGAAAACAAACAATTACAGTCTACACATATAATATATATATATATATATATATATATATATATATATATATATATATATATATAACTCTCTTTAAGTTTAAAAAATTCTTTAATCAGACAATAATGTTTATTTGTAATTATATGTACTAAAAATCAGATTATTGTTATAAAATTTATCACTTTAAATACCTTCTATTTTTAGTAAGATAGTAAGACATGTAAACATGTATTGAACATCTATTTATCGCAACTTTAACTTTTTGTAGTAAAACAGTTATTTTAATTAAGTGACTTGCAATTGTAAAATTATTAATACTGATAATGAGATTTAAGAAAGAAATTGTTTCATATGTTTTTTCCATAAGAACCTGCACTGGAGCGTGGAGATATATAGACAAATAATGCTCTGTAGTTTTTCCATTAACTATTCAGCAAATGAGTAGTTGCATTGTTTATATAGGATTATAGCTATTTTCAAAGTAGTGAAATAGCACCAAGTTTACCATATCATTAACAAGAATATATTATTGATTATTATAAAAAAATTTTTGTGCTTCATAAGTTACAGATTTGAATAAGCAAGACTATTCGATCTTCGGTTATACAGTTATTTTAATTATGTGGCTAAATTTTTAATTCACAAATATATAGTTTTATAATTTATTAGTTTATTATTAAGGTATGTTTACTAACCCTGTTAAAAAGTAGCCTATATCCTTCTCCATCTCATAAAGTACGCGTATACTAAATTTTAAAGTGATTGGGTAAGCCGTTAAGGCGCTATAAGGTAACAAACAAACTTACTTTCATATTTATAATATTAGCAAGGATTTTTAAAATAGTCATTAAAAAATATTTTTTTATGTAAACACCTACCCATATTTATATATATTGTTTAAGAAATTAAGGATTTAATATCTCCTATTGCGTCTACTAATACTACTCGCTTAGTTAAGTTACCTAATTAATAATAATCCAAATCTGATCTGATTATCATGAAGATATTTAATTTTCTTTTATAAACTAATTTACAAATTAAATATTTACATCAAGTCTTTAAATAAGGATTTTACTACTAGGTATTCATATTTATATTTAACTCTCTCTAAAAAAATGGTTATTATGATTTTCAAATTATTTTTTTTGTTGGTAAGTGACTACCGCCGCCCACGATCACCCACAACACTAACGGCATTGCCGGTGTGCTGCCGGCCTTTTAAAAAGGAATATGCTCTTTTCTTGAAGGTTATGTTGTCGTATCGGTTCGGAAATACTGGTGCTGGAAATTGATTCCAAAGAGTGGTTGTGCGTGGGAGAAAGTGCTTTGAAAAGCGCACGGTGGAAACCGCCACTCATCCAGATGGTTGGGATGAAATTTTAGTTTATGGCGGGTTGTACGATGTATTATATTTAAATCATCATCTTCCTACCCTTATCCCAATTATGGGGTTGTAATATATTTTTTATCCATACTACAAGAAGATTTGGCTTATAGTTTTACGACCGGCCGCCTGCCTCACGTCAATAAATATAATTATAATAATATTATATATATTATTATAATTTCAATCGATTTCAAAAAGAAGAATGGCCACAATTTGGTTGTATTTTTTTTATGTTTGTTACTTCATAAACAGAGTTATGAGGTGAGTTATAAAATCGGTATATACCTAACAGATTACTATATACCGATCCCGTCAAAATCGGTTCAGTAATTTAGTTTTGAAATTAAAATAACTCGTTTTGTCACTATTAAAATCAGTTTTTTTTTTTTGTAGAACACAATCTTAAAATCCTCTTTGTTTGTTTGAAAGCTAGTTGAATAAAAGTAAATAGTATTGTATTTAAAAATTTTATACTTAATATTATCTACTTATATTGCGGAATAAATTATATTAAATTTATTTATATGTAAATATAAATACATAGTTATATGTACTTTATATTTAATTTTATAAGAGATTTTGGGAGAAAAATCTTAAATGATAACATTACAATTTAAAAGGTTATTGCCGGCTGCTTAGTACGCGTGGATTTCAGAAGTAGGAAAACCAACTAAATATACTACTTCTAGATGGCGCATCAAGATAATACATACACCAGTTTTTAATTATTAGGAACATAACTGTGAAAACCACATACAATTTGATGCAGTAGTTTGTACATGATTCCGAAACAAATATACAGATAGACATAAAAAAAAAATCTAAAAATTATAGTTTTGATACCTATTGGTCTTATTAAGATTATTCAAGTACCTATTTTTTTCTTAAATATCTCCCATGTATAGACATCGCTAGTAACGAATTTAAAATTCCGTCAAGTGCCAAAATCTCAAATGTAAGTTGTATTAGATGAGTATAAAATGACGTGTTATTGATAGAAGTGGTCACATGTCATCAATAATTTGAAAGAATCATTTTACCATAGACATGGGCTGTACGGGCAGAGACCTTTGCCTTTCCCTTTGAGATAAACAGAACCAAAAAAAATACACATAATATTGTGTGACATCTATGATACATCCTGATAAGTTGCTTAAGGAATGGCAATGGACTGGTATATTTTTCTTCTTCCATTAAATACTCTCATGATTGCCTAGTAAATTAATTTATTTCTAAAATCAATGCACCCACCGTAATACTTACACCTTTATCTATTAGGATAAAAAAAGACACTTTTGTCTTGTCCAATGCAATACTTAGTGGCGTTCTCTACTATCAACAGTGACGTAAGAAACCGAAAGGTTTGATGGTGATCTGTTTTTTAATTATGTCCAATTTTAACCACATTTAGTTTGAGTATAATTGTAGGGTATCCAAGAGGCTGGCCGCATTATTAACACACATTGATTAATGAGATTAACACAATTTGCTTTAATTCTTTTTTTGTAAATATATAAACTTATATATTATTCTTACATGAACAGAAACCTAATGAACCTAATCAATAAAAATATATGTAAGTTATACGTATATGTTACCAGCTATAGAATTAATTAATTAATTCAGGGTACAGTTCTTTTCAACTGACATAAAAAAGAAAGGAGTTCTCAATTCGGTTGTATTTTTTTAAAATTTGGCACCCAATAACTACGTCAATTGTAAACTGTTTTAAAAAATTCTTTTTTTATCAGAACGGATGTACTTACAGATTGGTCCCATAGAAGTTTTATCAAAATTGGTTTAGTATTTAGACAAAAAACTAATTTCAATTGTGACAAAACAACAAGTTTTGTCAGAATTGAAGTCAGTTTGTTTTTGTGGGGCACAATCTTTAATTACACGTATCTTACCTGATTATATCTATCTAGAGAATAATAACAATTTGACCAATTGTAATCAATTAATTAATTGAATTAATAATTTCATTAATCTATCTATCATGAATCAATATATAATTAAGTTTATGGATTCATCAATAGATACACGAGTATTAAATCTCTAGTTTAACTTATAGATTTTAGACTATATAGATATAAAATTCATATTTTCTGAAAAAAAAATATCTAAGGATATTTACGTATGTTAAATTTACTATTGATAGGAAGGTACTTATTAAAATTCTTACTAAGAAATCTTTCATTTTAGCTTATACCTACCTAGTAAATAATCCACAAATTTTTATCTTCCTAATTACTAACATTATAAAAATTGCGTGCACGGTAGTGTAAATATCAAGTAGGTACCTAAGACAAGTGAAAATTTAATTATTCTATAACTATTTAATCCTTTATGATTTTCAAAAAAGGTAAATATAATCTAAAATGCTTGTAATTACTCCCGCGAATTTATATCTAAATCACGAACTACGGATATTATAGAACAAACAAGAATAAATTTATTCTTAAATTAGAAACTATTTTAATTATGTCTAACTATTTATTTTCATATTATTTCCTAATTATAAAACTATTTAGATATATTACAAAAGTAATAACTTACCTAAGGGTGTGAGTGTGTCCTCACGAGGGTCCCTGTGTCTCCGCCTCTCTCTTCTTTCTTGTCGATCTCTTGCCATTATAGCAGCGATGGAGAAATCAGTGGCACAGGGGCGCGCGGAGCAATCCTCCTCCATGGCGGGCCCCTGCCGCTCTCTCCCTTCACCTTGGAGCAGCATCAAGTTGACTGCCTCCGAGCCCAGCCTGCCGCCTGCTGTCCACACGCCGTCACCGTCTGAACATCCCATCGATGACACAGGACATAGTCTTTGCAATCTTAAGCTTGAAAGTTCGCGTCTCGACGCTATTGTGATTTACTTTTACTACCACTTACTAAAGTATGCAAATATTGTTATTTATAATGAAACTTCTAGATAAATGTTTAGGAAACAGAATGAAAATCCTTTCGATTCTAGAAAAAATATTGAAAATTGGTCTTGTCTTTTTTTCTTTCTACTAATAATAGATAGATCACAGAAATAAAATCTAATTAAATAACACAAACTCGTAAAATCAGTTCTTAAAGTGTCACAGTATTGAAATTTATTTGGCTAATGTTTAGCATCAGTTTAGGAGTATTGTCACTACGCTCGTAAGTTTCGGATTAGTTGAAACTTTTTACGCGCGGCCGTGGCGCTATAGCAGCGGACCGGTGCGACTTGGCGCGATGTCGACTCGACTGAGGCGGCAGCGAGGCGGCGCGCCACAGGGAGGGGCCTGCATCGCCGCCCTATGCCACCACACTCCGACCACGCACACACAACCGTTTTTTTTTATTACTTCTTTCTTATTGCAACTGTCCCGCTCGCGCCGGTCGTACTCTTTACGCCCGTCCCTCTCGATGAGCGAGTTTTTCTCCGCGCGATAACTATTGAAATTCGCTAAATGGCTCACCGCGGCGCGGAAAAGGCTCTCTCGTTAAACGGTGAGTTGATCGTATCGAAGTATTTATTGGCATTATTTGCTGCGCTAAAGCTTCGCCGCATCACTATTATATGCGCTGTGAAAGCTCGCCATCAAACAACTTGAGTGTTTGCGGTTTTATTGTTAAGATAAAATTAATAACTAATTTCTAACTAACTTGAAGCACCATAGTTATATACAGCATTAATTAATAATCTTAGTCATTTTTTAACTTCGATTAATAGAAGTTTTTATCAATACCTAATTAGGTAATTTTAATTAAAATAATATTTTTACACCTCACATTAATTCTACTAACATACATTTCACAACAATTTTACCAATACAAAAATATATTTATTAAAAGTATTAAAAAATGAAAATTTTATTAATAAATTAACACCAGTATTGTTTAAAATAATTACGTATCGTAGAGATATTTTAAAATCATTAGATATGTATATATAAAATATCTCTCAAAGCGAGAAATTTATTTCAGATATACTATATTATATTTATTATTGAGATATATTAAGAAAAGCTGCTTATCTGCCTATTAACTTATATTAAAATTAAGCGAAATTGTGCAGTTTAAAAATATCCAGACACTTTAGAGAGACAGAAAAATACTTACGCAGTTTGCCTCAGAACCAATTCTAATTAAAAATGTTACGTCTATAGTATGATTGTAAGCAATATTGAACGGTCAATTAGAAAAGTTTTATAAACACCATTACCGACGACATAGGAGAGGCTGAAACTGCGGCAGCAATCAACTTGCCATCAGTCCCTCGAGATTACCCCCGCGTTTATGGAGTTAGATCAAATTTGCGGAAAATTGAACTTACAGACTTTCAGTTTCGTATATAATATAATTTATTATGTGCGAGGAGATCAAACTAACCATGTCGTTTGGCAGTAAAGCTTATCGCTGCCGAGCCGGTAATGGCCACACAAATGGCAGTCGATACGTGAATTGTGTTGAATCGTGTTAATTATTTTGTTCATTTTCATAAAATTGATGTCGAAAAATTACTGTAATTGTAATTGAATTAAAAAAAAATGAAGAACTAAATATTTTCTCAGTTCGATTTTAATGTTAAGGGTTCAGTAATACTAGGATATTTACTCATCTAATGCATATTATTTTAAAATTACTGTCTATGATTTGTCTTTTCGATAATAATATAACAAATGTTTAGTTCCAATTTAAAATAAGTGATGGATACCTTTTAATTAGTTTACAGTTTTCAATTACCTACTTCTATTTTTACCTCCTTAAAAAGTAAAACTAACATGTGCAAACCGACGGTTTAATATCTATATATTTTTTTTAAAGGATCAATTGCTGAAAATAGCAATCAAAATCATAAGAACAGGAAGGTGATGGTCATCGGTATTTAGTGCTACCTAAATAATGTAATGATTGTATGAGGCCAAGTGGATAGGTAAAATCGAAGTGTCAACAGTATGTAAAATTTTTAGTGTGGTTGTCAAAACGTTCTCATCTATTGAGGAGAATTCCAAACTTTTTCCAACATATTAATAATGTGTTTTTATTTTCTAAATATGACAATGTCTTAGATACCTATTTGTCTAAAATATCTACATATAGATACGTACCTTCCGTGCTATATTTTTTCAAACGACTTAGAAAAGCAAACAAGCTGATATCTGATGAAAAATGATAATCGTCGCTTAAAGGTATACACGACTCCAATCCCAAGGTTTCTTATGCGCTACCATTTCTAAAAACTATAGAGTTTGTCCACAGTAAATTTACATCCTATTCCACACATCAATCAGAATAGATATAGGTTCCTGTGCTAAAAACTTGTATCTATAATTTCTACAATTAGACAAACAAAAACCGAAACTGATCACATCCTTTAAATATTCAAAAAAAATTTTTTATACAACTTAAAATGGCAAACAAGCTGACGGCCCACCTGATGGAAAGTGGTAACCGTCGCCTATAGACATGAGCAGTACCATGGACATAACAGAGTATACTGTTTCGCCTATGAATCGCCTTCGTTGCCATTCCTGAGGACTCAGATGTTATTCCTCTGTACCCTGTAAATTCACGCCATATCCTACCCTTCAGACCGAAACACAGCCATGCAAACACAACTGCTTCACGGTAGAAACATGAATGGAACAGAGGTACCCAAGCAATCGACTTTTGTACAAAGTCTCTCTCTGGTGAGTATAATGTAATGTAATAGTGAGACTGTTTGATTGTACCTTATAGCGTGATATTAGTATACAAGAAGGATATTTTACATTCCGGTTATAAACATTTCCTGGTTACGCAGACTAAGTCGTAGGTAAAAGTTAGTCCAAATATAAATACGGTACCAATAATGAATGCGAGAATATTAGGTTTAATGACAGATCTAACAGGTATAAATTCTCTTTATTGTTATTCAATCGTCTAATTCGATTTAGATTTGAAAATAATTTTAAGAATCTCACCCATCATGAACTAGGTAGACTCCTAAATACGCTGGTTTCCAGTGAAGTCCGGTTGTAGCTTCCTAACTGACTTGTATTTGCAATAAAAATCCTAGTCTCGATTACGTACTGAGCGTCTCCTTCCCTTATTTGGAATGTTTTGAATAATGAAATTTACGTGCACTGTTGTAAGTACTTTTGTTATGCATATCTAAAGTTGGCTACCTAGGCAACATTATACATTTTAGGATGTATATCTGTATTCCTATGAATACCTACTTATGTCACACCTTACTTGGAATAATTTCATACAGCAGTTACTTTTTGGTTCTAGGATTTCAGCTTTGTAAGTCTATATTTAGAAGCTGCCTCTTCATTGTTTAATATTTCATGTAATATATCTATGCAATTTAATTTGTTACAACAATAATCACTTTTATCAGTTTTAGAATATTTTTCAAATCTTCGATTTGAGATATTGTAACATATGTTTTGCTTTCTTCATAGTAAATATGTTTTATATTCTTTCTTACTCGACCAAATTGATCATAATGCAGGTCTTTGTAGTAAATTAGACTAACTAGTATTTCATGGCTTCACTTGCGAGAATCAGTACATAAAGTGTCTTATGTGCTAAGTTAGGATATAACTTACCCGTGAAACAAAATTTCATTTAAATCTATTCAGTATTTTTTGGGTGAAATACCTAGTAACTAACCTCCATCCATCATTATAACCTTTCGCTGTTATTTTATTAATAGAATTTGTAAATCGGCTTTATAAAAAATATTTATTTGGTATCTATAGGTATAGAAAATAATTTAATGAATGAGTAAGCATTATATAAAAGGCTTCCGTAGAAAATATGTAGGCACCTCATAAGTTTTGTCAATGTTGCTAATGTAAGAATACACATGATTCGCTTTACAGGGCTTAAGTAGGAATGGTATAATACAGCAAATACTTAAATGAAAATGTATTTAACTAACCATGAGTTCATGCAAATGAAACAATATTTGCATGGAGCATAACAGATGTAATAATTAATAAATTATTTACAGGTACCTTTATTACCTATCCTACAGCTGTAGGTATACGTACTGGGTAATTAGTATATCTATCTACTTACCTATTTGCAAAGTTTAAGCTGTCAATAATTATAAATAATTATTAATTTTTACTTCTTATCATAGTAGAAATTTAACTTGAAAAATGTACTTTTTTATTACAACCGTTGTACAGTTAACTCATCACCGAACATACTGCATTTCTCTTTTCCAAATCAACAACCGAGCTGTGATTAAATTTTAAAAGTAAGCAAGTCGTGTGAACGCACTCGCTGCGACCGACGGAGGGGGAACGACGCCCCTTGTAGGCGGGACGATGACAACTCAACCGATTGTATACCTTTTGCTGATAGAAATAGAGTAAAAATCAGCGCTACAGTTATGAGTGCATTAAATGCAAGTCTGTGGGAGTGAGGCAATTCTTTGCTAAGTAGCTTTCAAGTAAGCGACGAGCATCAAGTTTTTTCGCTGGAATGTTTCATGATTATTATCAAAGATTTGCAACTGATGGTCAAGTTTCTGGCTTCCGTTAATCTTTTTCAAAAACATACTTAAAGAATATGTACTTATCTGTCTATTTATTACTACGTACCTAATTAATAATCAAATACCTATAATCAATTTTAATTTAGCACATTAATTGTTTTAATTAGTAAAAGTGTACTTATATTTTGAATATTTGAATGGCAAACAAGCTGAAGGCTCACCTCATGGAAAGTGCATATGTATACTGTGACGCCTACGTTACCCTCATACGTTGTCATTTCTAAGAACTATTATATAATTTAACTGTTCTTCAAATTGAAACATAGTCATGCAAACACAAATGTTTCACGACAGAAAAATGAGTCCCCCTCTAATAAAAATATGTTTGCTTAGATACTATCAGTATGAAAAATGGAAACTGAAAATTACAAACATTTTGTCAACCAAATTCGAGCTCATTCCTAACAATGATGTTTGTAATCAAACAGCATTATATTTTTTTTCCAATTTTGTATGAAATTTCATATTTAAACGGAGGAAGAAAACGTTTTTATTACAAGTCTTCTCCGACAATATCTGCCTACTTACTTTTTATTCGAAAAAAATTAAACATAATGAGAATATGAAGCGCAGGCTATTTATGCAGGTATCAATAGTTTATTTTTCAACTAACTGAGGTTCAGGTCGAGTGCCTTTTTATGTAAGTATTATGCAATATTTTCAATATCAATTGTGATTTGAACCAAATTTAATGACTATTTTCTTTATCGCATACCTAAGTTTACCGCCAGGTAATTAATAATTGATCAATAATGAAATAATTTTTTTGCAGAA